AAGACAGCTGTCCGCCAGGACGCAGGACACACCCCAGACATGAACCTCACGGTTAGCCAAACCCCTGTGGTTCTGGCAAGAACCGCCAGAGACAGTCCAAACAGAGCTGAATGGCAAAGCACCAAGTGACCCAAACCCTCCGAAGCGCAAACCAGACAGCCACGAACTCCCGAACCGTGCTGTGAGCCCGACGGACGGATAGACTCCACCAACCTCGGCTGACCTGGCGAACACTGGTCACAAAGCCCCAGCCGAGAGATGACCCGTCCATGAAAACATCGAGCGAAGGCTCGGGGAGGTGCCAAGGCAAGGAACCCCGAAAACCCCAAAGAGGAAGCTGGTGACGCAGCACCAACACAAGATCCCCGGAGGAACGAACCCAACAAATGCAAGAGGCGGAAGGGGAGTCTCTGAAGGAACCAAACAGACGCCGAAGCCAAACCCGACTCCGCGGGCAGACCAGCACGCCGAAGTTCAGACTCCTGCACAACCGCTCAAGCAACCGCTGAGCAACCCGGGACCCCCTCATGTACAGCCGAAGGCGGGACCACAGCCGCAGTAACACTTCTGGAGGGAAAGACAATGAGTGGCCCAATAGCCCAAAACAAGGCCCAGGTCCGAACCCGGGACGGAAACAGATGGAAAAGCCTCCAGATCACCAGGAAACCAAACCCGGCGATCTGGAAGGAACCATACCCCTGGCGAGCAGACAAGCGGACTGACTGGGAGCCCACACCAGCCAGTCGTCGAGGTAGGCCAGACACCGAATCTCGGTCGCAGACAGGGTACTAAGATCCGGTAAAGATGCAAAAATTATACCAAGTGCCCATTACCAAATAGGGAAGGTAAGAAAACAGCAAACCTGAAGCCCCACCACCAACTGTCAGTCCTAGAAAACTGGAGAGGAACATGCTAAGAAGTGACCTGGAGGACCAGGACCACCATCCAGGCACCTGGCCCCAACAGAAGCCAGACAGAAGACAACAGTCCTCCGAGGAGGGCATAGAATCCAGGGCGTAGACTGAAGAAGTCCAGAAGAACTGCAGATGGGAAAACCTCATGACTGCAAAGAGCAGACGGGAACCCCAGAAGGATGGGGCGGAACGACCACGTCCAACGCACCCACTAAGATGACATGACGAAGCGCAGGGGAAAAAAGCCCACCCCGCCAGTGCTGAACCCCCCCAAAAGGGGGAGAAGCCATCGACCGACGCCACCAGAGGCCGGAAGACAACCCAAAGCGCCCACCAACAGTGGGACCAAGCGAGAGGCAACAGAGCAAGCTGCTCCCCCAGCGCCCAGTCAACAGAGAAGGGAACAGAACCCTTTCCGAAAGAAAAAGTACACACACATATACACACACACACAAGATATGTGACACACATGCGTATACACATGTGCACACACACACAGTGGACACATGTACATGCATACACACATAAGTCAGGAGGAGAAACTACGGGAATTAAACCTCACTTCGCTGGAAGACAGAAGAGTGAAGGGGGACCTGATCACCACATTCAAGATTCCCAAGGAAATCGGCAGGGTTGATAAAGACAGGCTATGTAACACAGGTGGAAACTGAGTGCCCAAAAGAGCCACAGAGATATCAAAAAGAACTGTTTTAGTATCAGAGTGGTTGACAAATGGAATGCACTAGGAAGTAATGTGGTGGAGGCTGACACCATACACAGTTTCAAGTGTAGACAGGACAGAGCCCAAAAGGCTCGGGAACCTGTACACCTGTTGACGGTTGAGAGGCGGGACCAAAGAGCCAGAGCTCAACCCCCGCAAGCACAACTAGGCGAGTACATACATTGTAAAAGAAAAATATACAAGTCACCGACTAGTGGGCAGAGAGCACCACGCCAGCCAGGCAAAGAAGGCACAAAACTGCATCAAAAGGCCCACCTCGACAGCAAAACTTCTAAGTCCCAGCACGACCACAACATGTGCCAAGACCCAAAAAGATCAGTCTGCAAGCCAGGAAGACCCCGGAACCCCAGAAGGCAGAACCGGGTCACACGAGGAAACAAAGTCCCCTGAACCCACAAAAGGGGGCCCAAGAGGAAGAAACCTCAGGAACGAAACCAAGGAACCCAGAATCGAACCAGGGGGAGCCCAAACCACCACATTTTGCCAGCGGAGAACACCACAGAAAGGCAAAGCACAGCCCCCTGACAGCACCCCCTGGGAAAACGGTCATAACAGACCAAAAACCGAGGGACGAGGTGTGGGAGCAAGCATACCAGCCAGGGACACTGAGCCCAAACCCAAAGGCCCAGACCCAAAACAGACAAAAATGGAAAACCCGGTATATAATCAACACCCAAACGTTCCCAGAGGAACAGGCAACTGGCAGAAAACACCAGAAAAGCAAAGAAACGACAACAGGAGAATAAAAACCCCTGAAAAAAGTTGAAAACTCACCCGAGATGCTCGCTCGCACATCCAGTCACGTGTAAACAAACCGCAACGCCGCCCTGGTGGCCATGCCGGGAAACCGACAGACGAAAATGGCCGCCAGCAGGGGCTGTGACTGACGCTAAATATACAAAAACATGCCAGCAAAAGGGGGAAGCAAGCAGACTGGATGGGCGAAAAACGCCGCCCAACAGCAGAAAACCCAGGCAGGGGCAAACCGCCCCAGAACTGCTAGCAGGCATCCCCCAAAGCCCCGGGAACCAACAACAGAGGCCCCGGGGCAGAGCCGTCCTTTAAGCCCTCCGCCCTTAAAGAAAAGCAAGAGTCCATGGGAAAGGCAGCAAGAAAGGGCTGCTGGTAAGACCCAGAAGCCTTGGCAGGAGGAACAGGCTCGAAAACCTCCGTCCCCCAACCCGAATGGGGCAGCCCCCGAAAACCGCACGAGTCTCTGCCCCAACTAAACCCCACCCCAACCCCGAAATCCACAGACAGACCGGAGCCGGGAACAGGGAGGGAAAGGGGCGAACAGCACCCGAACCAAACGGGGCGGCCTCGGGGCATCCGAGTGGGAAACCAACCTAGCATGTTGCAGCAACCTAACCTAGCTTGCAACACGGATGCCGCCTGTACTCTGAACAGTAATAACATCAGGAGAGTACTGGAGAACAAGCAGAGAATCTCTCGCAAGACTCCGGGTCAAGGTGTCAGTGACCCAACAGGCAGCATGACGGAGGGAAAAATGGCGACTGTCACCTGGAGACAAGGGCACAGCAGCCAACAATCCTGTACAAGACGGGTTGGAACCCGGAAGACACATTCAATGGTCCCCCGAGCCCAGACAGGGGTTTCCAGGGCCCGTAGGGGTAACAACTACGGGAAGCCCGGGCAAGGTGTTGCTAACCGGTTAAGAAACCCAAACATAACAAGAGGGTAGAGGATAGCACTAAAAACCCCTGCGACGTGTACAATCATGGGGGCCTAGCAGAGGGCTGCCAAACACTACCAGTGGAACTATAGCCACACTAGGCAGACCCCCACCAGGCATGAAAATAAAAACAAAAGAAAAACCCCGCAAAAGTACACCGTCTCCAGAGGCAACAGGAACCGGCCGCCGCTTAGGTGGCAGGCTGTGCAACACCTTGACGCCCTAACCAGCACAATACCAATCCCTACCCAGGGCCAAACAAGGGCCCCAAGCCCCAGCTGGCCCCAAGGGCGAGGCAAATGCCGAGCAACAAGAACCTCTACGGGAATGGTTCCCAAACGCCCCAGGGAAGATAACCCTGTTACGCAAGGGCAGTACTCACAGGGCGCTTAGGGAAGTCAGCCACTAAGCACATGCAGCCCCGGCCTGATGAGGTACTCCTGGCCACCGCACAACACAACACACGGCAGTGAACGCCACACAAGGCAAACACCGCCTAGGAAACTGAGGCCAGAGAAGCGTCTATCCCGGTTGACATTAGCGAATGAACTGAAGCTTGGCAGCCGGCGCGGTAGGTCCGGGGCTCCCCCCCTCCCCCTCTCGGGGCGGGGAGGGCTGCGCGGACGATCGGCGCGGCAGTAAAGTGTGATGTTTGCTTGTTTCCTTGTGATTGTAGGGAGTTTCTACCTCTCTGTTTGGTTTTTGGTTTAGTTTTTTTTTTTTTTTTTTACCATGTTTGTTTTGTTATGCCTACCTTTCTGGGTGCCTAACCCCGGTCGATGACAGATAAGGAAAACCCCAACCACAAGGGGGTTTTCCAGGGCCATTGCTCCCTGAAACCTCTCTGAAGGGGCCAGGTTCTGGCGCTGGTCCCTGGTAGGTCTGAACTCCTTAGCTAATGTCTCGGTCTAATATAACATACATTAGCCTGCTAAGCTCCAGGGAGCCGTAGGGGCTCCCCGCAGAAAACTACGTCGATCACTAGCCGTGAGTGCCAAACAGCAATGAAATGTTTCTACTCTTTTCAGGTTTGTCAAATTTTGACTAGTTGTACACCATTTTTTTTTTGGTGGCCTATTGGGGAGAATGAGAATTTCATGGCGCACATTTTGAAACCATCCCCAAGTCGATTAGATAAAAACTGGATTTTATAGAAATTTTCTTTTTGAACTCTTGAGCGAGTCGGAGGCTCGGACTTGAGAGATAAATTGGTGGTGCTCTCAAGCTCCCCAGGAGCACAAAAGTGATTTAACAGTAGGTGGGATAAAAATAATAAGCATAATAAAAACAGCAATTGGTGGATGCTGCTAGCCCACCAACTGGGTGACCGTTCACTCTTACTAGTGATCAATGTAATCACATGAACAACAGACTGAGCTAAGGGAACTTACATTTTGTGCATGTCATTGTTGCAAATAAACATTTACTCCAGCATCTCCCATCACACCATTCATGGTCAAGTAAAGAAATTTTCCCTATAGCAATGGTGCTGTTTTATCTTATGACTGATCCATAATGTGACACAGCCAAGCTTGCTACAGAATATAAAGTAAGAGAATTTATCACTTAGAAAACTAATACATAATAAAATAATACATCACAACATACATTTGCAAATTGAAATGGTACAACAAATTTGAATATGACTTACTTCTATAAACTTTGGAAGTCCACATATGTGTAAGAGGCATGAAATGGCAGAGAGTGAGGCAACCTTGAGATCAGTGTCACCTCCAGCTAGACAGGAAGTAACAAGGAGCCATATTTGATCCTGCACAGGCTCACAACACTCCCACAGATAATCTCCCAAGTGTTTTATCACCTGCATAACAAAATACGAATAACTGCATTAATTGGAACATTTTTCTATAGCCAGCATAAAAAACCAGCGTTGAATGTAATGAAACGCCATTTTCTGGGTGAACCCGGAGGCTCCCCAGAGCTATCCAGGCTGATATGTAACTATTAGCTTTCTGGCATTAAAGTGGGAGTTTTTGCCTACCGGGGACCACGAGCCAGAATCTGGCCCCCTCAGAGAGGCACGAGGAGCAATGGCCTATAGAAATCCCCCGTGTGGTTGGAAGCATTCTATGTCTGCCAATGACCAGGTCTGGTACCCAGAGAGGTAGGTACCCCAAAACAAACACCTTTTCTGGTGAAAACGTTGCTACCAAACGTCGAACGAGTGGACAGAACTCCTCAATGAAAATTAAGAAACGAACATGATGTCATCACGTCGCCATCTGCGAAACTCCCCCCTCCCCGGGAGGGGGAAGGGGGAGCCCCAGACCCCTGTGTCGGCAAACCAACCAGCAGTTCTTAGCCTAAGATGTCAAAAACACGCAAAAACACTGCCAACTGGAGGGAGGGAGGGATGCCAGGAACCCTCTGGGTCTCACCCAGAAAATGAAGTTTCATTACATTCGAAGCTGGTTTTCTAGAGGGAGCCCTGTCGGCTCCCTAGAGCAAAGGACCTCACCAAAGGTAAGGAAAAGACGGAAGGACACAGGAGGCAGATGCCACGTGCCCTAACTCAAAATCAAGACAACTGACAAACCGAAGGACCCGGCAGACGACCCGAGAGATGCAAACCATGGAAGGAAGGGAACCTGGGTAATCCAAAGCGCCCCCACAGCCACAAGGGCCAAGATGCGACCCCTCTGGAAAGCAGCAGACCCAATCTTCGCCAAAAAAGGAGACAGCTGCAACCGAACAAACCAACCCGAAGCCTCCGGAGTGACATCCACACAGCCGCGAACCCCGCACCGTGTTGTGAGCCCGACGGAAGGACAGACCCCACCGTCCCTGGCCGGACTGGTGAGCACTGGTCACGAAGCCCCAGCCCAGAGACGACGCATACATGAACCCATCGAGTGAGAGCTCGGGTAGGCGCCAAGGCACTGAACCCCGAAAAACCCTTAGATGAAGTTGGCAGCACAGCAACAGACACAAAGCCCCCGGAGGGAAAACCCAGCAGTTGCGAGAGAGGTGGAAGGAATGTCTTCGAAGGAACCAGAACAGCTGACGAATCTAACCCCGACCCGGCAGGTAGGCCATCATGGCAAAGTTCAGGCTCACGCACAAACCCTCGAGCAACCGCTGCGTGACCCGGGAGCCCCTCAGGAACAGACAAAAGTGGGAACGCAGGTGAAGCAGAGCCGCTGGAGGAAGTGACGAGGAAGTGGTCCGAGCATCCTACATAAGACCCAGCCAAGACCGAGCCTGAGAGAAAACTAGATGGGACTTCCGCTAGTTCACCAGGAACCCAAACCTGGCGAGCTGGAAAAGAACCAAATTCCTGGCAAACAGACACGTGAACTCTCTGGGAGCCTAAACCAGCCAGTCGTCGAGGTAGGCCAGAACCGAACACCTAACAGATGCAGGCACATCACCACTGCCCGAGGAAGGCACATGAAAACGCGAGGTGCCAGATGCAAGCCTAATGGAAGGAAACAAAAGTGGTAACCCTAATACCCCCACAACAAAATCGAGCCAGTCCCTACAACTGGCTGGGGCTGGCTCCCAGTCCCAGCAACTCCCTCCAGTTCCAGTTCTACAACTGGAACTGGAAGTTTGCTCAGTCCCATTTCGGGACCAGAAACAGACGGGGAACCCACCTGAGAGACGAGTTCGTGTAGACCATGCACACGTGAACCCACTCCGAGATGACTCGACAGAATGCAGGAGAAGAGGCCCGTCCCACTAGCATAAACCCTCCCAAAGGAGGAGCCACCCAACGCCACCGCAGGCTGCACGAAATGACCTGAAGGGCCCACAAATCGTGGGACCAGGCGCGAGCAAACAGAGCAAGCCTCACCCTCATCGCCCCGTTAATGGGATGAACTGCAAAAAAGCCGACGCACCTTACAAAAACCTAAGTGGTGTACCGGGTAATCCCCGCACCAACCAGAAGACGGAACCGAAGGCTGCGCCTGCCCCGAATTTGGCACCACAGGCCTATCACGATGGGAGGAACCCCCAAACCCTGGCATGACCCTTCCGGGAAGACCCCCAATGAGCCCCTCGGAGAACTAACAAGTCGGACCTAGGACCGCAACTAGCTGAAGCCGCCTGCAGATACTGCACAACAGCAGCTGATAAAAAGGCGAAGACAACCTAAAAACCAGGGGCCCAAGTGGATTCCAAGGAAGTAGCAAGCACCGCCTGCCGACACGCAAGCTGAGAAGCAAAAAACAGCAAAACCACATCCTGCAGGAGAGGTGAGAACAGCTTCAACAATGCAGACGACGCACACACCGCCGAGGGCAATGCAGCAGACCCTGAAATGGTCTCAAGCTTCTCCACACCCAACTCAAGCCAATCCGAAGACAGCTCAAGGAAGGAGAAAAAACACAGGGCCGCTCTAGCAGGCCTCGTGTACACAAATCCCCGCGACCAAGGCAGCCGAAAGGGAGGAAACCTGCATATGAAGCTGCATTACACAAATATCCTGTGGAAGGGCAGGGGCAAACAAACATGAATTGAGATACTCAAATTCGTCCCCCAGGAAAACCTGCAATGCCATCTGAGCCTCCCTCCACTCAAACACGCAGAACCAACAGAACGTGTGCCAAGCCTTCAATGAGAAGAGCGGGCAGTCTGCGAACCAGAACAAGTCCTGGCGATAAAATGGCAACAAAAACCTACGAGCCAGGACCCAGGCAGAGGCCAACGAGGAAGCGAACACCACGAGCTGACACACGAGATGCAAAGCAAAAAACAGTGACACCATAGCCTTCAGCAGCAGCACAACCAGCTCCAGCAGGGCAGAACGATGCACAAGTTGCTGAGCAACAGATGAGGAGAACTACCCAGGACGTGCACTGCACTAAATAAAAAATGTACTGTCCGGCAAAGGAACACAAAGAAAAGGGCCGTAATTCTAGCTCCCCCTGTCCCAACAAAAAGGAACTGTAGGGGCAGGAGCAGTTGATTGGAATCTACATCCACCAGCAGACATTGCAACACAGAAGCTGGTAGTGACATATAAGAAAATGAAAGAACTCAGTTCTATAACTGAACAGCGGGGCTGTCCAATCGCAGGGAACTGAACACGTACACAGTCCAACCTAGCACCAACACTAGTATAGCCAAGAAGCACATACTAAGATACACAACAATGTATAGTATAGTGGTAGGAAATACGGAAACATGCAATGAAAAGACCATAAATATAGTCCAAGCACCGATAGCTAGGGACAAGAGAGTATAATCAATATGATGAATTAATAAGACCGAGGAAGCAAGTGGTAATGGAAAGTACATGATCAAGTAAATATACAGACACACTCCAATGTATATATAAGAGTGCAGCCAGAAACTGAACGACGGTCAATGAATGAGTGTCCAGATAGCATTGACTGAGGTAATGAATGAGTGTCCAGATAGCATTGACTGAGGTAATGAATGAGTGTCCAGACAGCATTGGCTGAGGCAATGAATGAGTGTCCAGATAGCATTGACTGAGGTAATGAATGAGTGTCCAGATAGCATTGACTGAGGTAATGAATGAGTGTCCAGACAGCATTGACTGAGGTAATGAATGAGTGTCCAGATAGCATTGACTGAGGTAATGAATGAGTGTCCAGACAGCATTGACTGAGGCAATGAATGAGTGTCCAGATAGCATTGACTGAGGTAATGAATGAGTGTCCAGATAGCATTGACTGAGGTAATGAATGAGTGTCCAGATAGCATTGAGATAAGCACATAGGAAGGTCATGTTAAGATGCACGCAAATTGACCAAGCAACACACTACAAACAACACCCAACACTCTTCCAAAAATTGAGAACGAGCGCCTGGCTGACAGTGTCACCAGACCGTATACTCTCACTCGAAGAGCGTAGACACTATCGCGTCACGAAACAGCTGAGTCGTGTAACATTCAGGGAACATTGCTAGTGGATCATGTCTAGAGATGTGTGCATAGTAGAAGATGAGGAGCGGTGTAGAGGTGGAGGCAGGGCCACACCCGTAAGCAGAGAAAAGAACTCTGCATTTTCCCCATATATAAAATCCAGAACACCCCCAGTATCTAGAGGGGCTATGACTGGAGAGATAAGATGAGCAAGAGCGGCATAGAACCCCACAATAAAGGTCGTGGAACACCAACTCATGCTTACACCGCCCATGAACAAAATGATCACCCCTCGGCCCATGTGCCTGAGGACCGAGCTGCACCACCAGTCTTTTGGGGAGGGTGCCTAAAAGGTGTATTTAACAAATAATAGTAATATCAAGACAGAGTACAGAGAGAAGACAAGTAGTACGGAAGAGGATTAACAAGTCCGATAAAGGACTGGAGGTAAGCCTCACCGGAAGTCGAGAGACGTTCCAATAATATTTTAAGGATTGAAGATTTTCTCAAAACTTCGAGAACCTTGATAATCAAGCACAAAATCACAGAGGCTCATATGGGCCCATCAGCATCCGTGACCAATGGGGTATGCAGGGCTCTCGATACGATTTGAACATGATTGTGACATAATGTAGAAGAATGCATGTCCAAGATAAAAAGGGGTGAGAAAGTGGTTAAAATTACCCACAGGAAGGATGGAACTGACGGACCCGAAGGGACACGGAACCGAACCCGGGGCGAGCCCGACGCCCAAACTAACTCGTTCGCAGAGGGGGTAAAGGAAATCCCTACTCCTTGTAACAAAAAGGGTTGTAACAACCCTCTTTGGCACAGAGGGTTGAAAAACCCAGGCGGGGTCCAATGGGGCCAAAGGCCCTTAAGTTAGCCCCTCTCCAACCTCGACATCAGGCCCCGGGGGCGAGTCACCCTCCAAAGCCCCAGCCTCAAAAAGCCAGGGTGGCT